CATGATTCCAGGGTTCGGGAGAAGTGCGGTCGTGATGAAATTTACCCATATATATATATTTATTTATTTATTTATTTACATATATATCCCATAGCTGGTCATAAACAGCTTCATCCAAATATGTTCATCATTGAGCCACCTCCAATTCGGAGAGCACCAGCCATTGGAGATGATCGGTGTTGTCTCGGCTGCTTAAAACACACAGATGTGTGAAACAATTGTAACAAAACACAAAGCAATATGGCGCATAGAATGTCTATGAATCCTGGCGTTACTGCAAATCAGAACCAACAAAAATCTCTTCATAACATCTGTGCTCTATTGCTTAAACCGTCTCGACATATAATGGGATATATAACCAAAAATGTCGAGAATTTTGGAGAGAGAAATATTTCATCAGCTTGGGGGTATTGATGACAATTTGAATGGGGACAATGATGATGAACCCAGTAAATCATGGTGCAAACACATGTAACCTATGCAATGCTTGGTGTTTTCATCCTGCCCTGGATAAGAGATCGGTTTTTTAAGCTGGAGATGTTGAACCTCCACGGCTTCGAGTGCCAAGCTACCCAAACCAACGACTGCTAAAGAAGAGAAGTGCCTGCAATGTGGAAAATGTGACAGACTGCCACATGGACTGACAGGTGATACATGACTAGGTACATATCTTTACGTGCATATATATATATAATTATATAAAATTACATTATAGCATATTCGATTACATTTTATTATTTGCATATGCATATGTAAATATAAATATATATTTATTTATTTAAATTATATATTCATTTCTTTATATATTGATATGTGTGTGTGTCACATACAAAGGAGAAATTGGATTTGCGACCCACTGAATGATATGCGGCAGGATGGGCTGGCTCAACAACTTGAACAGTGGCGACTGACATCATCACCATCCAAGAATATCAAATGACATCGATTTTGCCAACAAAAAAAATGTCCCATTCCCCCAACCTAGACCCTGCCATGTCTTGGGGTTGGAAGACTACCTTCCTCTAAAAAAAAAGAATGATGTCTGGGCTGTGTATGTTAGCTGGATGGTGAGCCGCGCCTAGTTTGCACGAAGAGCAATATGAGGAGAACTCCAAAGCAGCCAACACTGAGAACTGCAGTTGACAGGGAAGGGAATAGAAATTTCCTGCTGCCGGTCACACAACACGTCAATTGGGATCATGCTCGATATCATCCCAATTTTCGGGGATGTGCGATAAGAACCTTTGAAAACTCTAAAAAAATGTCATGTGCAAACTGCACACGTGAACCCATAAGAATCCATGTGAGACCACCATCTCATCCCATCCATGGCCAAACTCTCCAAAAACTCTGCTACCATCCAAGCTGCAGTTGACTTGATGCCAAGATCAGTCCGGACACCAAGCCGCCATAAAGATCCACAAGGGCACAACCAGAGAACAGCAGCTGGCCACACCTTCCGAAAGCCATCTGACCCAACATCCCCCAGTCGCGGCTGACCATTGGCACATTCATCTCGTTGGCTCGAGCGTCCACAAGGCGGAAGAGAGTACCTGAGAAATGGTTTGTCTGCCTTGGCAGGAAAAAATGGTGACCAAATGACATTGGTTTGGGTGATTCTTAAAGTGTCTAGGGTTTAAAGTGATTCAATGATGGTCTGTAACTACCGGAAAAAATGTTGTGACCGTTCAACTCTAGAAATAGCCGTCTAGCTGTTGTTGTGCTTCAATTCGTTTCCCATCCATTTCCACACATCACGCCGTTTCCCAACCAGGGAGCCCGTGAGCCACAGGGTGAAGCTCATCATCATCGCCACCGCGAGGAAAGGAAGCACACAGAGCCAGCCAGCTTGTTTCCAGGCATAGGGAAGCGCCAAGATTCCAGATCCTGTTTGCTTCAACGCATGGACCATCTTCCCGGTAGTTTCGAATGCTTTAATGGAGCAAACTAAAACAAATCATCCGCAAATCACCCAAAATCATCAATAAAAATCTGGTTGGTGGTTTCAACCCCTCCTAAAAAAACTTTAGTCAGTTGGGATTATTATTCCCAATATATGGAAAATCCTCATGAAATCGACAAAGCATTAAGTCCAATGGTCCCATATAGGCATTCAGCATCGTCACGATCGTTCCCCCCAGGGACGAGCCCTTCGCATTCCCGGTGTTGCCGTGTCCCTTCAGCGGCACGTCGCTGCCCTTCGCATTGCCTTTGCCGTGTCCCTTCAGCGGCACGTCGCCGTCCAAGAAGTAGTAGCTTTCGAGTTCGGAAGAAAGTCCTGCCGTGGCAAGGGGATGGCACATGAGTTTATTCGTTTCTTTATGCATCTGTTCATCTGTTTTTTTGTGATCCAAAAATAGAAAAACAACATCTTGCAACTAAAATAGTGATAATTCGCTGTTGAAATTCAAATGTGTATATGTATGTGCTTATTTATTGATTTATTAATTTATTTATTTACTTATTTTAGGTATTTTTTACCATTATATTTTATTGATTTTTTATTCACTGATTTATTTATCCTCATAACTTGGAAATCCCAAGGTTGTAAAAAAAATGTACTCGGCTGATTTGAGCTCAAAAACATATTTGTTGAGGCAAAAACGTATTTGTTTGTTTTCCTTTGGGTGCACGTTGTGATCTTAAGCGATAGTTTTGGTAGCTAAGGGACTTTCAGTGTTTCTAAGGGTGTAAAACGGTTTTGTTCTGACAGAGTTTCAGCTCACGAGGGTTTCCACTCACACTGCCATCAAATCCGAAGAAAAAGAGCTAGGCAACCAAGATCTACTGAAACATGACTAATGTACAACTCTTGGGATATAAATGCAACATGTCAGTGCCAACAAATGGCCCGAGGCAGCGCGGATCAAAACCAAAAACGACATTGGACTCCATTCCGTGAATTTCCGCGTTTGTTCCGCATTTGTTCCGGGAATTTCCGCTTTTGTTTTTGGCGCGATTGTGTTAAAAATGGAATTCACCCATCAACACGGCTGCAAAGCCATGCCACAGGTTGCTCAAGGCCTTTAACCACCCAACCAATTCCAGGTGAGTGCAAGCCACAATGCCCATTACAAGATTTTGTGGTGGGATGCATCATGGAGTAGTGACACTTGCGGAAATGCTGGCGCAAATGATTCTTTCCCACTAAGTCTTATTTATTCCCTTGCTTCATGACGGCCCCAACGGCCGAACAGGCAAACAATGCCCAGCGTACTCAAAATCTGAAAATGTTCAAAAAACGTCTTTGTTTCTGAAAAATTATCAAAAAATGTATTTGTTTGAAAAAACACGGTTTTCCAAACAAATGCAAAAAGTATGCATACTTATGGCTGCCTAGGCAGAAACATCAAACGCGTCTATATATCTGTAAATATATATATATATATATGATTAGTGGGAATATAAAGACATGGACAAATAGTACTCTTGCGATTCGTGCTTACATGTCCCGGATCCCCGCTATGGATAAAGAGTTTACTTTAAAACCTATTTTAACACTAAAGCTAAGGGATCAATCATAATATGTTTTAATTAGCTTATGGAAAATTACATGAAAAAATCTAAGAAGTGCAAATATCCCACTAGTATCCCAATTTGTTTCTGCTAGACAAATACTCACTTAAAACTCATGAAAAAAGACTCAAACTGACCACCAGTCGCCACCACTCGGCTTGAACTTGACCCCGGAAGGATCGGTTTTGGCCCGCTCTGCTCTTCGCAGGGACTGGCGGGGAAATGCCAAAGATCCATCTGGAGTGCGGAGGTTGGTGACCACCGAAAAACTGCCGAAGTCTTGACTTGGAAGATTGTATCCTGTCAGGAGATAGTGAAATAACGCCCAAATAATGGCTATATATGCGTCCTCAAGGATGTAAGCTGCACTTGGAAGAAACTTGGATTCCTCATGATTGCTCTTAGTGTCCTTCACTGATATATTTGTTGTTTCCAATTGTTTCCAATCAAAAAAAGGGGCTGGTGCAGTTTTACCTTCAAGCAATTCTGCAAATCGTTTGAAATTCTTGGGTTTGCTTGAATTATATAGGAACGAAACAGGGACAGGTTCCTCTGTCCGATGCCACATGATTTGGACAACCAAATTTACCGCAGTCCCAACACACACGATTTCAGTTGAGTGGGCTTGAAGGTGCGAGCTCATTTCGCAAATTCCATAGGGAACAGCATGAAGCAGCTGGCTATGTCCTGTGCTAAAACTACGTTTCTAGAATGCTAATTCTTGTCTATTCGTTTAAACACTCGTATCGTATCTCTCTCTCCATCGCTATCTTCGGGAATCTATATTTTGATAAACATGTGGATTTTCAACCAACCTTTGCAAGTACGATAATCATTCAGCAACCTGAAAACATCAGGAAGATATGGGATGGTTGCCCTTATGATTCCCATCATTCTGTATACCCTCTGGTAAACGTTTACATAGCTATGGAAAATCACCATTTTCAATGGGTAAATCAACTATTTCTATGGCCATTTTCAATAGTTATTTTGACATAAGCAGAGGGTAAATCAGCACAATTTACCTGAAAGTTCGGCCAATTGGGGACAATTCCCCTCACTAAGTCACATCCAGTGACATCGCAGCGTGGTCAGGACCAGGACCATTCATTGATCCAGATTTTCAATGATGTTCCAATATCCCCATAACATATCCATCTAATGCATGGTTAATATCATGTGATGGTATTAACCATGTCTGGTGTTCAACGATTATATATATATATATATACATACATATATATCATATCACTATATAACCATGATATACCATGACAACCATTCTGCTGAGTAAGGTCATTGGATACCTGATTGAATGGTACGCGTACAAGCAAATCACTCTCTCCAAACCAATTTTATAACAACGATTACCATTCCCATCATGAAATTGACCAACATATTCACATTCATGATTTGGTTCATTGAAATACCATTGAACCATTTCATGAACCACAATGATATTCCCATCTTGACCCTGCAATCCATGGTTAAGTCCCCTCCCTGAACGGTGACTTAGTCAGGCTGCGTTGGAAGGGATAGGGATGGAATTCCACTTGGCACATGTCATAGGTCACCGGTCGGTAGTCTTCCTTGTAAAACATCAGGAAGTAGCTCACCTAGGAAAATACAGTGGATTGTTCACCCAAAACATTGTGGTTTAACATGGTTTAACATGGTAGAAATCAGGAATCAAAGTTCTTAAATAAAATTCTTTGCTCGACTGAACCCGCCGGTTTTTGTGGATGTCTTCAGGACGATATTGGGATTGGATGGGTTTGGTTTGATATGATACTAGTTTATATAAAAGGCATTTTCGGGGGATGAGGATAAGAACATCTAAGAAACATGTAAGAGTCTTGGCGGCACTATGATCGGAGATGGTATCATGGATAAAGATATATATATATATACTGGTTGGTGGTTTCACCCCTCTGAAAATATGAGTTCATTAGTTGGGATGATGAAATTCCCAACTGAATGGAAAAATAAAAACATGTTCCAAACCACCAACCAGTATATATATATACATATATACATATATATATATCAGCAACACCATGAGGGATCCGGTTGATTGGCGAACCCATCCACAACATACGAGTATATGACTTGAATTTGGGGCCATCCCAAATATTTTTTGACTGGACAACGAATCTACACACAATTGGAGTCTGGTGCTTTGATCAAAGAGTATCAAAGTTACCCGACCCAGCAAAGTAACTTTGATATGGGCAAAACCCAAGGAAAACAAACACACCAGCTGTGTAAAAAAATGATTGATCCTCAGGAAGAACGATGGTTGGATCTGCAGAAAGATCAAAGGTGGGAAACGTGGCTAGTTGGGTTACAAACACCAAGGCCGCAGGTTGAACCAGTGGGATCCTGTGGGTTTACATCATGGTCTTTGGTACAAGTGTATATGATACTGTGGATGGGCCAGCCAAATCCTAAACAAAACCAATTTGGGATGGCTGAAACCCTATAAATAGTGGGATGTTTACCACCTATCAACTGGCGCAGGATTTCGCAACCATCCACCGCATCATCACTGTACATGTCATGTGGGAAGCTCTCAGCAGTTTCCTTGACTCCCAAGATAGGGCTCGGTCACACCACTGGAGACCAGCTGGAAGACCAAGTCTGGATCGACGTAGCTGATGGGTCCGAATATTGAAACTGCCACATCAACATCCTCAAGGGTTTCATCTGGCCCAAAAAATGGCACATGAAACTCGCAAAAAGCATGTTAGAATTCTGAGACTTATGAGCATTGAACATTTCATATCTAATGTAAGATGAGAAATTAAGCTAACGTACTCAGATACTACATGTTTACATCTAGATAGTCATAGATATAGATATAGATTAGCATGGCGCTCTACCACGTTTTCTTTAGAGCTATTTTGTCCAAGTTTAGTAATTATTGTCCCTAGGTTTGGTAATTATTGTCCCCAAGTTTGGGGAATTATTGTCCCTAAGTTTGGCCTAAGTTTGGTAATTATTGTCCCCAAGTTTGGGGAATTATTGTCCCTAAGTTTGGGTAATTATTGTCCCTAAGTTTGGCAATTTTTGTCCCTAACTTTTGCCTCTTTGGGGAATTTTTGTCCCCAACTTTTGATGAATTTTTGTCCCCAACTTTTGCCTCTTTGGGGAATTTTTGTCCCCAACTTTTGGTGAATTTTTGTCCCCAACTTTTGGCACAAGTTGGGGACACAAATTCCCCAAAAGTTAGGGACAAAAATTCACCAAAAGTTGGGGACAAAAATTCCCCAAAGAGGCAAAAGTTAGGGACAAAAAATCCCAAAAGTTAGGGACAAAAATTCCCCGAAGAGGCAAAAGTTAGGGACAAAAAATCCCAAAAGTTAGGGGCAACAATTCCCACAACTTAGGGACAAAAATTCCCCAAAAAGGGCAAAAGTTAGGGACAAAAATTCCCAAAAGTTAGGGACAAAAATTGCAAAACAGTGCCTGAAGAGATATCCCAAAAACATGGTAGAGAGACATGCTAAGATATAGATATTATTTATTCGGCAACATTCGGCATTCATCTTATCAAATTAGGATGATAATGGCCCTCCAGGTCCTCCAAATCTTCTGCTCCAAAGGCCTCCAATCCAATGAAGCTTCCCCAATGGGAGGGATTTAGTATGAAACCACACACACACACCAAAAAAAAAATCTTCCCATAAGTCTGAAATTTTGACATCGTCCTGCCCCATTCCTTGGGAGAAAATTCCAAAATCCTATTCTGGAATAGTAATTAAACTATTTACAGTGTTCGAACTTACTACGGTTTTTTATCCTTTTGAAATCTGTTTCAATTTTTGTGGGGTTCCACCAAAAAATGAGCCGAAAAAAACTGTCCCCAACATCACCCAACATCCCAAAATTAGCCTTGTTCTTGGTCTCATGCTCCGGAAACTTCCTCTGCAACTCCTCCAACATCTTCTCGGAGGGATCGATGCCGATGTAATCCTCCGGCTGCAGAGCTAGCAGCTCCAGCAATAGCCCGGTGCCACAGCCCAGGTCTAGGACTTTGCAACCGGGAGCCAGGTACCTGGAGGTAAGCAGCAACCAAAAGGGAACTGTTACCATCAAGTTCATCTGGATTTATTATGATTTATCCAAACAATATAGGGGATTTGAGCTATCAAACATGATGCTTTTACCAAAAGAATGGGAATGTACGATATACATATTTACCAGTAGTACCGCACAAGGCGGTGGCGGAAGTTTCAATAATAGGAAACCTCTAGGAGAGATTGGTTGTTGTGACTCCGGGATGGCAGAGCGAATCCACTGATGGACCGAAAGGTGCTTGAGGTCTCCTCTCTTTCTTTCTCTTTCTCTGACTATCTACCTACCTACCTAACTATCTATCTATCTATCGATCTATCTCTCTCTCTCTCTCTTTCATCTGTCTATCTGTCTAGCTGTCTACCTGTCTGTCTGTCTATCTATCTGTCTATCTGTCTACCTGTCTATCTGTGGTACAGTGCCATTCAATGTAATGTAGTGTAGTGTAATTTCGTGTGGCGGAGTGTAGTGGAGTGTAGTTGTGTAGTCGTAGGTGTAGTTGTAGTGGAGTGTAGTGTAGTGTAATGTAGTGAAGTGTAGTGGAAGGTAGTGTAGTGTAGTGTAATGTAGTGTAGTGGAGTGTAGTGTAATGTAGTGTAGTGTAGTGGAGTGTAGTGGAGTGTAGTTCTGTAGTTGTAGCTGTAGTTGTATTGTAGTGGAGTGTCGTGTAGTGTAATGTAGTGAAGTCGAAGTGTAGTGGAAGGTAGTGTGGTGTAGTGTAAAGTAGTGTAGTGTAATGTAGTGCAGTGTAGTGCAATTTAGTGTCGTGGAGTGTAGTGGAGCATAGTTGTGTAGTTGTAGTTGTAGTGTTCTGGAGTGTAGTGTAGTGTAATGTAGTGTAGTGGAGTGTAGTGTAATGTAGTGGAGTGGAGTGGAGTGTAGGGAGTGTAGGGAGTGTAGTTGTGTAGTTGTAGTTGTAGTTGTAGTGTAGTGGGGTGTAGTGTAGTGTAATGTAATGAAGTGTAGTGGAAGGTAATGCTGTGTAGTGTAGTGTAATGTAGTGTAGTGTAGTGGAGTGTAGTGTAGTGGAGTGTAGTGGAGTGTAGTTGCGTAGTTATAGTTGTAGTGTTGTGGAGTGTAGTGTAGTGTAATGTAGTGTAGTGGAGTGTAGTGTAGCGTAGTGTAATGTAGTGTATTGTAGTGAAGCGAAGCGGAGCGACATCTGAACCTCCAAAAGTGGTCCGAACCCCTAGTGTTTTTAACATGTTGACTTCGAAATGTGCTTCGCGCCACAACGGCGTGCACTTTTTCGACATCTGAACCTCCAAAAGTGGTCCGAAACCCTAGTGTTTTTAACATGTTGACTTCGAAATGTGCTTGGCGCCACAACCGCGTGCACTTTTTCGACATCTCAAATTCCAAAAGTGGTCCCAACCCCTGGTGTTTTTATCATTTTGACTTCGAAATGTGCTTCGCGCCACAAGGGCGTGCACTTTTTCGACATCTCAACTTCCAAAAGTGGTCCGCGGCTGCGGTGTTTTGTACATTTTGACTTGGAAATGTGCTTCGCGCCACAACGGCGTGCACTTTTTCATCTCTCATCTGGCCAGCTGCTCCGCACCCGCCGCTTTAGCGAGCCTACTTTTCGACCCTCCGGAGCCACAAATCATTGCAAAAACACAGTGTTTTGCGACTTTCCTACCTTTTCGCGCATATGCGTGTTCTTTCTTCTGACTCTTTCTCTTCTCTGATCTTCTCTCTTCTAATCTTTCTCTTCTCTCTGCCTCTGCCCTGCTCTGCTTTTCATCTGTCCATATTGTCGGAAGTTTGACTTCTAAACTTCCCTCAACAAAAAATACATATTTACAAACTATAATATATATATATATATAATTATATATACAGTATCTATTGCGAGTTGGGACGGTTCAGGCTACGCACTTCTTACTCTGATTCGTCGAAATCCAGGGACCCAGAGCAAGTCGTTTGGGTACCCCAAAATTTCACCCAAAAATCACCTCATGGGCCCCATGGGCCTGCTAAGTGTTTAATGGTGCATGTGAATCTTAACGTATGTTAACATAGCCCTAAAGGATGCAGTTGTTTGATGTTATTTGTAGTTTATGTGTTTGTTCTTGTACCCGCACCTGCCAAATCTGCCAAGAAACTCTCTCAAGAATCTCGCAATTGCTCGATCCTCCTGTAGACTTTTAGGGTCCTTGCGGAGTGAATCATACTGGGCCGCAATCGCATCATAGTCACAGCTGCCATAGGATGCTGACCCCTCTACGACTTCCATGATTGGATTCCTAGCGGAGGAAGATGTTGCAATGGCAACACAAAATCGGGCGTATTTTAACGGTCTGGAAAATGCAAAACGGCTGCGAAGATATCCCACTCATCATCATGGACCCCCATTTTGGCCTGTGAAATTCACATGAAATCTGCTAATCTTGGACCCCAGTTTGTAGGCTTTTCGTGGGTTCCCTTGTTGAAACTAAGGAGGGGAACCCTCGCAAGCTCCCTTCAGAGGGCCTTGTTGCGCGAACAGGCTGGAAAGCAATGGGTCACTTGTTTTCTTTACAGATGTTACCAAATTTTACTAACATGGCAATGAAAACATCCCCTATAAAATCCACTTCGACGGCTGGGTTCCAAAGGAAAATCGTTTGATTTACAGAGGAACCAAGGGAGGCCCCAGGACCCTTCCTATAGAAAAATGGTGAGCAGTTGGGGTATGATGCTTGATACATACATTCCCGTAAGCCAACACACATGTGCAAAAACCCACCGTGAATCTAGATCATGTTCCCATGGTTCTCACCATAGGTGATCTAATGTTTACCCCAGGGGTTACGGGTAACGATCCAATATGATCCAATATGATCCAATAAACTCAGCTTCGAACAGCTCACTTCAGGGATCATCTGGCTATCTTTGGCTGTCACTTTTCTGCGACGCGAGCGTTCAGCGGATGCTCGAAGCACAGCTGGCTTCGAAATGGGACAGTGTGAGCTGAATCATTGGGCCATTGGGCTTGATGCTATACTTGAACTGGTGAAAAGTGGGGCTTCGGCAAGACATGATCCAACCATATCTCTATTGTTCGAGATGTGGGATATCTATACCAATGGCCATACGTCATGACTGGCGACTGGGTCATGTTTGAGGAATAAAATATATTAATATTGTAATGTAAATAATATGTAAACTTACAAATGAAAATGCATTATATATATAAATATATATCAGTATAGTAGATTATAGTATAGATACACATATAGATCTAAACATATATAAACATGGAGCATTTCGATGCATTTCGGATCAAAGAAAGATAGATCGAGAATGATTTGCACAATTGGATTTGATCCTTTTCAAACCCTCTACTCTCATTCAGGTCCAGCTTGTGGGTATCATGCACGACTCATATGTGGAAAGCGTCCGGGAATATCATTGCGCAGCACAACAATGTTGCAACTGCGAGGGTGACATCTCATCTGTCTCATCTAGGCAATCTGATAAACCCCGCACCTGAATTAAAGACCGTCAAAGCCACGGCTTCTCAAGATTGACCGTCTGTTCTTGGGCTAAGAGACTTTCTCTGCCATGTTTGGCCTGCAAGAATCTTCCAAACAACATGCTGAACTCTGCAAAGTTGATCAAAGTTGCCGCTAAACTCGACCTTGTTTTTGGACTTCAAAGATCTTGAATGCCCAAAACCAAGCTGAAATCCACCATGTTTAGTTCATATATAGATATATAATGAATACAAAAAAAAAAATATACATATATTACCAAGACATTCCCACATCCTACGTGTCAGCGCCCGCTTTGTCGGCCGCTTTGTCGTCACTTCCTTCTTCGTTGTCAGAGGCCGCCCTAGGGCGAAGTCACTACCCACTGTCAGTGGGTATGGGGCATGTACATCTGTACAACGTATAATTATCAGGATCTTTACTGTAATATTAAATAATATTGTTCATGCTACCATATGCTATCATGCCCTAAATGGATTCAAGAACCTTCTGAGGGAGCGGTTCGGGTAGATTGAGGCGGCGAGGTATTATTTCAGGTCCATAGCTATAAATCTTGTTTGTGTTCAGTCAGGGAAAAAATCAATGTTAGGTGGAGGGCTACTAGTAGAGGTATGAATTTGTGTAAGTCCAAGCGATTGGGCGCTCAAGAAGAGAAGACCTGTCTTGAAGGATTGCATCCCCTCAACAAAAGGCATACTAATTCCCCGAAATCACAGAACCATCCTGCACAAACAGTGGTGAACCATGGTTCATGTGGTAAACCTTGGTAAACGGTCTTCATGAACCAGTTTGCAGCTGGGTCGCTCTGCGGCATCGTCGACTTTTTCACTGCTCTCCGTTCGCTGAAGAGCAAACATCAACCTATGACCAGTTGTGTTTGCTGTGCTTCAAAGCACACAGAAAGTGTGGGTTCTGAGTTTGTACAAGCCGGTGCCTTCCCCAGTTATTCTTGTTGGTTTCTACGAAGCCCACTATATGAATATAGATCAGATATCAACCGACTTAACTAATATTTCAGCACCCTCATTTTCTGACTTACTAACCATGGCCAGATACTTGTATACTATACCAACATGCCAGTCTAAGCGAGTCTAAGCACAGGATTTGAAATAATGGTTCGCCGGAGCCTTCCCCTGTTCATATTTGCAATTAGGATTTAGATCGGGGAACAAAAACAACAAGTATACGTATACGGCATGTTAAACCTTCAGTGGGTGTATCTGTAGTTAGGCCATTATATTGCATTATATTGCATTATAATAGTGCATCATAGTAAACCCAATTAAATCCTGCTGGGACAAGGGTATCTTCACTAGAGCTGAAGGTATACCCCAGCTGATTATCTGCAAACGCCCCCTCTGACTTCGACCGAGCTATTGAGCCAGTGACTTTCCCAAGATGTTCATCTACCTATTGTTAAGTTATATTAATGGCATTCAGGTCTGATTTAGTAGCATTCAGATCCTGGATAACGCCACTAATGCTCCACTACCATGATGACTGAGATTGACTTGTGCTACCTTGTGGCACAATACTTGCAATCTTGTGCATTCTTCCAGTGCATTCTTTCAATGCATTCTTCCAGTGCATTCTTCCAGTGCATTCTTCCAGCAGCGTGGCCAAATGATGCTTGAAACATCTGACTTTGACTCAGGAGTTTGCAAAATATAAAGGATAGTGCTTGGACTCTGGCTTAGCCTCAACAACCATAGCATGGTTGAAAAACTTAAGAAAAAAACAATTTTGTAACCAGCTTCAAACACAATGGCCAGGGATTTGGGATCATATTTCTTTGAGCCATGAAACTTAATAATCTATACTGTATCACACCATTACACATATGTTAAATATATATATATTAGATATATTCTATCTTAATATATATATATTAGATATATTCTATCTTAATATATATATATATCCCTAGTCCCAGCCACCAGCCACCGCTCTAAAGACAGCCTGGCCGTGCACAAATGCGCCTCAGCTGCAATACCTGAGCCGTGGAGAAGATAACACCTAAAGATACCCAAAGTGTTTGGGTACTTGGCTGTATATATATATAATTATATATATAATTATATATATATAATTATATATATAATTATCTTTAAATATATCTATATCTATCTATCTATCTATCTGTCTATCTATCTATCTATCTATCTAAAAAAAAATATATATGTATATATTAGTATAAATATGTATCTATCATTGCATGATTTCATACAGGGTTTTTAAACCACATCTTCTTGGGTATATGCACATATAAATATATATACACATACATATTCAAGTACGCATGTAAGTATGTAACAGAAATATCAATATTTTGGGTTTGGATCCAAACAAGCACATCAAATAAACCCAATTTGGGTGTTGGGAAACATCTCCATATTTTAAAAATGTGGGGAAACACCATTGAGGTTCAGGAAAAAAACAAATCATTGGGTTGAACCCCAATTTTATTGCAATTGCATGCCACATTTGTTTGGATCCCAAACCATCAGTTTAATGTCAACCCTGGATTAATAAACCACATTTTTCAATAATCAACCATTCTAAAACCCGGATTGGTTTATAATTGGTGGCCAATGAAAAATGTGGTTTATTACTCCTGGGTTGACATTGGTAAGACATTCTTCAAGTATTGGTGGTGCCCACATGTTTCAACCGGATCCCAGGAATGAAGGCGACCAAAGATACCAGCCCACAAGGAGAATGGTTTGGCCTTGGCGGGCAGGTATTGTGGCAATTGGTCCATTAAAAAAACACAATTTAATATGTAAAGGTTGATTTTGCAACATCTTTAGCTGAATCCGCATTTTTTCCACTGTTTTGGTCCAAGATGTTCGAAGATCAGCCATGTAAACCCCAATGGCCAGAATTTCATCTATATATATAATCCAGTGTGTATCAACACTGTTTCTTTGGAGAACCTCGGGTAGGCCTGCCAACATTCCACATCCTTTTCACCTAGAACCCGTCGATGACAACAACAAAAATAATTTAGGAGTTGAAACAGTTTAAGCATGAGACAGCAAGAGAAAATTTACTGAGTATAGCTGACATTTCTTGAAGATTTTAATGCAACATAAAACAATATAAAACATGTTTGACTTGATCACTTTTGGGTTCCGGTGCGGGATGCTAGCAACTGAGCTCGCAAAGATGACTTCATCCAGGCATCACATGCCGCTTTGCGGCGCTCTTGGGATTTGGACATCCCCGAATCATGAATCCATTTTGTGATGAACAAATCTCGGGCCTTTGACAAAGATTCCACGGATGAATTGCTGGGATCAACCGGTGGAACTGGGGCAGCCTTAGCCTTTGCACGACCCCCCGTGCTCTTTGCCTTTGGTGCTACCACCCTCGGAACACCTTTCGGGACCCACTTCGAATGCCAGGAGTTGCTCGACGTGCGATGCTTCAAGATCTGGTCCAAGGTCTTCGTCTTCTTGGCAGGCTTGGACTTGGGAGCAGGATCATGAGACCCAGAGGGAGCCTCACCCCCATCATCTTCAATCACATCATGGGTATCCTCTTCAATCACATCAGGGATCCCAGGGGGAGGAATCTCACATTCATTCCCACCCGGTTGAGAATCATCAGGACGGGCGATCTCATCAGGGACAATAATCATGTCCGGGCTATCTTCTTGGGTATCTTCATACTCTTTGGAAGGAGTGCGGAGCAAATTGCCATTCTCATCATGTGAGTCCAGACGGAGAGCAGGGTTTGGGATAATATCCTGATCACACATGGACCCCAAATCATGAGCCGCAGTCATCTCATCCCATTGTTCTGGGGTGATAGGATGCTTCCTTTCAATACCATGGGTTGCAACATCATCACAGCTACTCCCTGGGTAGACCAACTCCTTGCGGACAGTGACATCAGCATGCCTGAGCTCAGCAGCGATCTTCTCCATGTCCCCTTCCGTGTCGGTGTCCTGCAGGTCCTGGTTCGGCTTCTCATGTGGAAGAGGTCCAAACCTGGGCTGAGGGCTGGTTGATCTGGAACATTTTTGTCAATAAGGGTGATGGGAGTGATCGTCCAATGGGGTCTTACATACTAATAATTTGCAAACAAAGAAACTCTGTAGTCACTGGTGCAGCCATGGCCGATGGTGGGAGTGCTGATAGGCAAAAGTAGCCAGAGGATGGACGTGGATCATCATGAACGAACTGAAACCCAGAATAGCCCTTGCTCTCATTCACATTTTGGGACACCACCTTGAAGGGAATTTGAGCTGCAACCTCGTACTCCATCAGATCATCATCAACGACAATTTGGGTTGACACCATGGCCAACTAATCAGATGGGATCCTTATGATCCGTATTCCCCGTCAGGAACTAGAACCCGAAAAAGGCTACAGTTGAAATGTATGTTTTTTGAAAGTTTCAGTGCAATGAGAAATATGAGCATCCTGAATTTGTTAGCTGTTAGTGGTTCAAATGGGATCACATGAATTCGCATGAGATGTTTTCCCTAATCTTCAGGTTGATGCTGGTCACAGGCTAGTCCCATGTTCATAGCACAGATTCACACCAGGCCCCCCAATCGTACATCACACTTCGGAGATGTAGTGGCCGTGTGAACAACTTTCAAAGGCAGTTGCCTCTAAAATGTGATACCCCAAAATTAAAAAGCCATCAACAGCCTATGCGATTCGCTTCACTGCGTCCTTGATCAGCTTCAGATCGCCAGGTAGAAACCAAAGAGGCTTCGCAGCGGCGATGCACTTCTCCGTGGGATACTTCCTGAGGCGCCACACCTCAGAGATCTGGTTGGAGTTCTTGATTTTTTTAGGGGGGAATTCCCGGTTGTTTTGATTTAATTGTCTGGTGATTTTTAGGAATCAAATATCATTGGTCTAGTTAAGAACATGAAAGTTCATTGGTTTCCCCATTATATATCTATATAATGGATGTTAGGTGTATATCTCACATGGGTCTCAGCTTTTATAAATAGAGAATGTCAAATACTAAGCCATTAAGATGGTTGTATCATTTCCAACTTATGTATCCTAGGTACCAGTTCGAGCGGGGAGGCTTTCAGAGCGTCATAGTTGAAATAGCTCGCCACATTGGCAGCCTTCAAATTCTTCACGGGGATCTGGTTGGGGCGCCACAACAGCAAATTCCCACCATCAGGGGCAATTGAGAACTTGTCATCTTCCCGGCCCTGAGATGCAGCAGCAGGACGCTGGCATGAATGCCTGCCCAGTGTGTAGTCAACCATGCCCTGTTTCTCGATGGTTTGAAGAGCAGTGCGCAGCGTCATGATGCCACTGTCAGAGTTGCCGTCCTGGTTTTAAAACATGCCCCATGATTGACTTAGCTTTGATTTTTTAAAACAATAAACATACCTTTGGAACCCTGATCCTCCAGCACCACCAATCCCAAGTCGTTGCTCCAAGAGCAAATCACTCCACGCCCTGGATGGTCTGCTTGGTACTTGTCTGCTTTGTCACCCAGAAGCCAGACCCCGGCCCCATGGGAAATGATTGCAGCATCAGCTGCCTTCAGATGCAAAGCATCAGTAGCCACCACAAACAGTTTCGGTCCCGGAACGAGAATGAAGTTATAGGATGTGGATCCAGTCATCTCAGTTCGATCAGAATACTTTGCCTTCAGGGTGTCCAAGGTTTCTGGCTCCCCCGGAAACACAGCTGCCCAATTCATCTCCTCTTCCAGGTGCTCTTCCTTCTTGGCGATGAGGCCAGCATTTGGGCTGGGACTTGGTGACTGGTTGGAAGGTGCTGGCGAGGGAGTGTCCAAGACTGGGGTGTTCCACTGCTTGTCAAAGTTTGTCACGATTTCTCTCCACTCTTGTCCCCAAATAGGATCTTGCAAGAATTGAGACCGCACATCTCTGGGAAGGATCAGCTTGTTCCCTTCACCAATTTGGCAAATCTTCAGGGCAGGAAGCTCAGCTGGTTTTGGCAGGTCCTCTGTGGCTGCATCCTTTTTGTAACGTGGGGTCACGGAATTCATAGGCGCATTGCCCTTCTTCCACGCCTGTCAAGGGTAAAGATGAATATATCCCTTACTTGGAATTTCATTTACCAACAACAAACAATTTGGTATAAAAAATAACATATATCAATTATATATAATCAGAATAGTAAAAACAATGAATATCAATATATATATATATATATTATTAATATATATATATATGCGTTTTATTTGCAAAATATATTTAGTACAATGGGGTAAGTTGTATGCTATGCTATGGGGGAAGGGTATCAATTGGCCTCCAGCAAGTGGCCCTTGATGATCTCCTTTGCACACTTGTAGTAGGGCTCCATGTTGCTGGACCCAGCCACACAATAGCCCATCTGGTTGCAAGCAAGTTCCACACAACCGTCATAGGCCGTTGGGTGAATCACCACTGCCCCAAAAGTTCCCTTGATGTTGCCTTAGATATTGTGCTGTCAAATTTTGATCCAAAAAAACTATGGTTTGATACCTTTTGAGGTTTTGACATTCCCACTACACATGACCCCATCTTTTTCACGTAAGTAACACCAAATTCTATTGAACACCGGCGCTCAAAAAGAAACCTGATTGTTTGACTAGCGAGGTGCCGAACAATTGTTCCAGAATTGCCTTGGGAACATTGATGCCCCCAAGCCACTGGCTGGTCTCTTGCAGATCCGTCAAATTTCTGCGCTCGCTGTGTGACAGGATTGATTCTCCTGGCACCACGAACTCTTTCTCTGGCAGCGCAGGCGGAAAGCTGGCTGCAGGAAGAGCTTGACGCAACCACAAAGGGGAAGAGCAGAACCTCGGGTTTCAACTAATTATATCCTTATTACTGTAGTATATAATGGGCAAGTAGGATATAATATTAATTGATGTTATTCTATGGTAGATATAATGGACACCGGGGGTTTCCCAACTATTATCAATTATTATATCCTAATTGTTCACTTATAGCCTAAGATCACCCTACTTTTGTGGCTTGGTCCCCAAAAGTTTTGTATCCATCCCAATCTGAGGGCTCTCCGAAAAAACAAAACTTATAGATATTTCTATGTCGTGGGGTTGTTGAGAATAAACCAAGGAACGTATTGATTGTGTTCTCGGGCTCCGGGGCACCACCACGCACAACACGATGTGCTGTACCACGCATGGGGAGCGTAGAGTCCAACACCCCCAAGAAGCACACATATGCGCTCGGAAGCTCTCTGTTTTTGTGCAGGTCATCCACATTGAGATTCAATGTGAATGACCTCAGCTCCACCTTGTGGTTGTTCAGCTTATCCTCCAGCTTCCTGGAAACAGAAAATAGGAAGCAACATGTTTTTAAAACATAGTAGAAAATCTCATCAATCCCATAGGTGCTTTTTACCCAATGTGTTGGTTTTATTTCAACATACTATAAATGATTTCAACATATTTCAACATGTGTTGGTTTTACATGTGTTTTTGGTTTTATTTTTATGTAAACACCAGTCAGTCCTGAGATCTTTGCGAAGGGTTCCAGCACTGTCAGAACCCACAAGCAATGGTGGGAGGATCACCAGCACACTGCCTAAGTATACTAGGGACAATGATGTTCTGCAAATTTGGGAAAATATCAGAACACTTTGAATGGTGTGAAGAACAAATAATAGACTGGAAATTGTTGCCTAGGAACGTGATGGGTTTCGCTGAAGAAAACGTTCTGCCAGAGCACCAATGGAATTCACCTCGCCTTGGTTCAGCACCCCAAGCTTCGTGCAATCAACATAGAGCACAGTGTAGATATCAGCTGGCGACACCTTTCATGGTAGCGGAGCATCATTGAAAAGCTGTTCCAAAACAAAAATCACCCCATTGCTAATCCTTGGGTGGAATCTGATTTCCAAACCAAATTGGTTTCTTCAAACTGTGAGCCTTGCTGGATGCAGCAGCTTGGCGATAGAGAGCTTCCAGCTTTGGGTCCACGGGCTGCTTCTCTGTGACAAGCATCATGCGGCACATCTTTTCCATGTGGCTCTCGCAAAGCCTCATCAGGACAAATTTTGGCAAAACAATGTGAGGCAAACATAAATATTTCAAAAAGAAACAATTCAAAACAAAAATGCTGAACTTGATGAATTTCAGAACTAGTAAGCCCTTTTCCGATCTGCACTTGGCTTCGCTCGTGCATGACCATGACAACATGGGCCCTGCGTTGGCTCTCCTCCATGCCAGAGAGATACTGTGTCATGTTGGCCACATCTTGTGCCAACTTGGCACGAACTTCACGAAACTTCGCAGCCTGAGACTCTTCCTCGATGTCCATCAGCTCCGCTGCACTGTGAACTTGCATTGGTGCCGATGGTGGTTCCACAAGATCAGTCCAAACCCCAAGGTGTTGCAACTTCCACGTCGAAAGTTTCGATGCCACGGCCGCCTCAATCTCCTGCCAGTAGTCCCTGAGAAGACAAATGCTCTGGACAAAAAACATAAAACCAAGAATTTGAAGGTTCAGGCCATCCATACATTGTGGGAATGCATTGAAGCCAAGAAACTTCTGAGTAAAAGCCTTCAAGATGGCCATTTCCTTCTCAGGGTTGAAGCTTGCCAGTTGCCGAGCCTCTCTGAGAACTGATGCCATCACACAGGCGTAATCACAATGTGCTTCAAAAGCAGCCGGCGACCATCTCACACGTGGTCTGGCGGATACCCTCAGCCGTCGTCCGTTCTCCAGGAAGCACTGAACTGTCAGCTTGAAATGAAGAATCTGGGCTTCCTCCGTGACGCTCAGCACCTTCTTCAGCTCTGGGGGGCAACTGGACGACTTCGGGCTGGAGCCAATGAGCCATCGCTGGGATCTGAACTGCTCAGTGCTAAACGCACATAGGACCCATTTGTTGTGGTCAACATGAGCACGGATAATGTTGCGGGACTCCTTAGTTCAGTGTTTCTCAAATTCGAGAGAAAAAATACAACAGGTCAGGCTTAGAATTGAAGGGTCAAAAAAAAACAAAAGAAAAAGCACCTAAAATGGAATCAAAAAACCACCGATGTCCCAGAGATGATGTTGCCCACCGCCTTCATCCGATCTTCATCCAGGCGGTGCTTTGCCTGCAACCCTGTTGAGGAATGCCAATCCTCCACCACGTCCCGAAGACGCTCATCCACTGACATAGATGGCAAGTGTCGACCTTCATTCTGCCGAGCCTCCATCACCTTCGAAAAGCGCAATGCTAGTTGAAGTGTGTTGGGCGCTTGGCGCTCAGAGCCTCTGTATGAATGATCGATCGGTCTCATCCATGTTGAAAGTCATCTCAGCTGAGCTGGCTCTTGCTCAGGTAAGGAAACAGTAAAGAAAAAATAACAGCATAGAGAGGAGGAAAAACAAGGCATAGAAACAGTAAAGAACCTGGAAAAACAAGTTTTGACTTGTTGCAAACAAAAGACGTGAACAGGCACCATCCAGGCCTTCTCCAACACTGCGGCCATGGGCTTCAGAAGCTCCAAATTTTCTGAGAGGTCAACTTCGCTGGCTGCAATCAGCATGGTGAGAACAATGCTGGACCTGGTCCAGCCCTTCACTTGGTCAATGCTGGAGATGCTGCAGCTCCATGAATCTGGAGGGGCATTGTGTAGCAACACCCACCCTGTTTTATTTAATGGTATGAGTTGAAGTCAAACCTAGTTGGAACTTCTGGCATCCCCTTAATGGAACAATTAGTTTGGATATGTTTGGATAACCATGGTAAATCTTGTTTTAAAACCCTGTGCCTCCCTGCATGGCGACCGAGCCGTCTAAGGGCTCTCTGCCCAAATCCAAGCCACCGAACAGGATAGATTCGAAGGTGCCTACCCAGTCTTCGATGCACGGAAGGCCGTCTTCGGGTTTGTCGAACCTGATTTTGAAAAAGGGTTTGATATAATTTAGATGGTTTGGACTGACAAGTCTATTTCGGGGTGGTGCTCCTCCAAAAGTAAACAGCTTCATTTTTGAATAAGATCAAGCCACTTCAAACAGGTGATTGGGACCTTGATGGTCTCACCGTCCATACTCGGGTCCTAGCCTAGCTTGATTGGCAGAAGAGTTGAAACCTGTAGAAATCTGTTGAATTTAGCTGAACAGTTTTGACCTTCTAGGTGTTTTTTTAAATCCAAAATCCATGGCCAAGAGGCCACATTGGCGGTCTTGAAAAGATAGGGCTTTCCAATGGCATTGGCATAGTCAGAATACCACTGTTCAAGCTGGGCACAGTGCAACTTTCTGGTGGCATCGTCAGGGTTCACAAACAAATCCAGAAGCAGGCTAGCAGGATGTGCTCCCTCGGGCAACGCATTGGATGGATCAGCGCGGAAAGAATCAGCATAGGCATGAAGGTCCTGCACCATAAATTCATCCCCTGGTCATTGGAAAAAAACGATTTGTTAGCATTTTTCTTGGGACTTTCCACACAGTTGGGGGCCCTTCCCGTTTTTAAACAAAAAATAACTAACAAGTATGGGTTGAAATGCAAAGCCATGAGTAAGTATGAGGGGAACTATAAATGCATATCCGGTTGATTGATATAGATGATGTATATGTTAGCTTTTGGTGATGCCATTGAATATATAATTTTGGTGAACATCATCATGTATACACATCTATAAACATAATTAAAGGAATAGCTAAATTACATATAATTGAGGTTGTATATATGTGTAAATAATATGTACTTGGACATATGTGTATATGTATATGTGCAGATGTAAGTATGTGTCTAAATGCGTACAATATACAATATGCACATGTAACATATGTTTGTTTAAATGTAAAAAAAATGTATGAAAGTTTTATGCATATTTGCAGATATAAATATATATATATGTAGATATGTATATATATATATAAATATATATATAAATATATATATAAATATATATATATGTATTTGTTTTAACATGTCATAGATGTATATATCTAGATATGCCGTGTATATATGTATGTATATAATATGTAGATATATATTTTCTATGACATATGAATATATATGTAAACACTTTATGCAACATGAATATTATATTTCTGTTTCAGTGTAAATGGAAACATGTATTTACAGATGTATTTGATTTTATATATGTATTATTTATGTGAATATATATATATGTATGTGTAGATGTGTATATATATATATAGATGTAGATCTACGAAAAATAACCCACAGGCTCCTTAACCAGGCCCAAATCACCAGGGGGAAGCTTCTGGATTTGCTTCTCATAGTGTGAGCACTGCCGCTTGGCAGGTTGCTCAGCCTCTGACCTCTTCACCTGGGATCTTTCCTCCACCTTCTGTTTGAAAGGCGTGTGGGCCATGGATGGTCAGAGGTTGACCAAGCGAATTGGGAATTGCCTCTCTTTTCAAGGCACTCAAGGGGAAAAAGGCTGCAGTGAAAATGAAAAAATCAAAACCACATTCCTTGACTCAATTGATTTTATGTTGGGATTTTGATGTTGGGATCAATGCACTCTAGGTCCTGGAGTCCATCGAAAAACCTGTTTTTTGAGGTTGAGCATCAATTTTTTTCCAAGATCATGAAAAAAAAATTGATGCTCAATGCCAAAAAACCAACTTTTCAATGCACTCTAGCTCCTAGAGTACATCGAACATTATGTTGGAAATTAACATCAAAATCAATGGACATAAGGTTGATAAATTTCAAAGGGACCCAGGATTTTAAATAAATCTTGGATAGAACATGATGAAAATCTTTCCCAGGGTAAATGAATTTATGGGATGAGAATGTGCCAAGGGTCATGAAATTGCAGGACCATGGGGTGGGAAATAGGGAGAACCCTGTGGGACCAATTTTCAATCGACTCTAGGCCCTAGAGTACATCGAACCTATCTTGGGGAGCTTTGGAACACCCCCTGGTGCATCGAACATCATTAATAGGAACATGTGGGGACCCCCAGTACATCGAAAATCTTTGTTTGGGACCCCTCGGTACATCGAAAATCTTTGTTTGGGGCCCTTGGTGCATCGAAAATCTGTGTTTGATACCCTTGGTAGGTACATCGAATATCATTGTTTGGGACCCCCGGGTGCATCGAAAATCTTTGTTTGGACCTCCCGGTGCATCGAAAACCTTTGTTTGGACCCCCCGGTGCATCGAAAATCTTTGTTCGGGCATCCCCGGTGCATCGAAAATCTTTGTCTGGGACCCTCGGTGCATTGAAAATCTATGTTTGGGACCACCTGGTACATCGAAAAATTGAAACTTTGTTGGGACCTGCTGGTCATTGAAAATTAATTTGTAAACCTATGGTATATTGAAACCCTTTCTCCTTGAAAATAGTGGATTGCTTCTTTTGATTGCATTTGATATGTTGGTCTCCCAGCAACACTCCAGGCCCAGGGCCCTATCAAGGGCAGTGAAGAATCTCTTTTTGAACACCTCAGAGGCAGTAGGGAGCCCTGGTTCAAGTCATTGATGTCGTGCACCACCAAAGATGGCCCGCAATGGCACAGAGGGGGCAAGGGCATCTAAAACAGCCTGATGCATTACATACCTTGGTTCCCCTGGACGGGCTGGCATTTGAGCCTGGGCATGCCAGGGAAGCGGGGCCACATCTGAATTTTCCCACATTGTGTTGGACGCCAAATCTTCCAAGTACTGGGCAGCTCGTTGGTACTTGTGGCCATATGTGAACATAACAGCTTGGGCAGTTTTCCTCCATTGGGCTGCATTGGCTGCCGTATGGTTGTTGGCTTTCCTTGGGTCATCAAATGAACAACATGGCTTCAATATAATTTCTTGGCATATGAAAATCCAGTGGTATTTGAATGCCCAGAATCAATGAACTTTTGGGTATGCCGGGTATGCCTCCTTGATATCACATAAAAAAACATGTATATATATAACATAATATGAATATATAATATAATATAAATCTATATATTTATTTATAAATATATATATATATATTTGCTCAATAACCAAATGTCTTTGTGATTGGCGCCAAATTCATTGTTGAAGCTCGGTGGTTTGTGAGTACCAACATTGGATCTTGACTTAATTCGGAATCACAAATGTGCTTCTTGATGAATGTGATGACATCGAAATCTGAAGGTTGGCCCCGGAAGGAACCATGGTTGATTTTCTCTGCAAGGGCAGGTGGTACATCTGCAGGGTTGTTTTGCTTCTCAGATAGCCCTCAAACTATATCGCTATATTATCATTATATCCTGTGAGATGATCTAAAAACCAACCCTTCCTATGTTTTCAAAATGCCGGCCTCGCCGCTGCATAGCCAAAAAAAGATGGTTCCCTTCATCATCACGTAAAAGACCACCCTCTAGCTTCACACCAGTGCCAGAGACATGAGCTTTCCAATCTCTGGTGCAGTTCAACTTGCGAACATTGACTTGGGTACTAGGACCAATCCAATCCCGAATAGAAGGCTTTGTGAGCTCATCGCTGATAGCAGAAATCACATCATTCGGGTCTTGCAGGTCTGACTGGGATGCAATGCGTCTACTGATGATTCCCGAGCATTGATCTCAGTTGGTTCCAGAATGGGAAACGAAAAACATATCTTTTTAGTAGGGACACCGTCCAAAAAAAGTTTTCATAGAACTCATTCAAACTATTGTTTTGAAGTAGATGCCAGAGTTCCTATGCGGCAATGTGTGTGACTTTTCCGCAAATGGCAAAGTCCCACCAATCTCAATCTGTGCAGTCCACAAAGGAGGTGAATGTAGCTCAAGCAATACTGGTTCTTAGCCTCCCTCACAGTATTATCTGCCTAGGCCAGTGCTAAGTGTCATAACCCCAGATTCAAAGAAGAGGTAATACCAAGTTCTTGACCCAGCTTTTTGGAGGTTTCAGTATATTACCAAAATTGATTTGAAAGACCTACCATGCTTAGCACCAAGATTCGTTGATGAGTGCGACTGTTGGGCGAGGTTTCCCTTCCTCATCACATCGGCGCATAACCTGATGCTGGTTTGAAATTGCATAACCCAGAACTCTTAATATTCCACCAATGTAAATGCATTTTTTTGGGGGGCCAAAATTCAAAATATTCCAAGTCCCAAAAAAGACATGTAAATTCCAACCCAGGATCATCCTCAATGGTGATTGCTAGGATCTCTATGATTGCAGAACTGTCATGACGACTGGGGTCATCCATGACAAATATGTTCAGGCAAAACCCAAATGCCCATGCTCCGTGAACCTTGAGGCGTGGGCGCTGGTACTTGCTCCTCAGCCATGGAGGCACAAAACCCTCAGGGTGGGATAGATCTTGAGTAGGTAAGATACCCCAAAAAAATATTTGTGGTACATTCCAGATCTTAACTTACAGAAACATTTTACAACTGATTTCACATCAAAAACTGCTAGCCTGCATAAGTTGAATCTATAGTTCAATCCAAGTATCAGTGCAGCATTTGCCCTCAACCCTGGCTCCCTCGGGAGAGCGAATTTTGATTGGTCAAGCCCATCTGTGGAAATGAAAATGATTCCTGAAGAAGGGTCGGCGGCCTCTGCCTGCAGCTTCCAAAGTATTGAGCGATCAGCAAACTGATCGTGCAGATGGGACCTGTACAACTGTAATGATCCCAATTTTTGCTCCATGCTCAACCCCCGATCAGCTAGCTGGGCTTTCAAGACAGCACAGACATCACAGGTGGTGAAAAGACTCTTCTGTCTGAACTGCAAAATCTCCTTCCATCGTCGCTTGTAGACATCATTAAATGTACCATACCTGGTTCAAGCAACATTAGCTTCGAACCATCAACCCCATATCGGTGTAATCAAGAGTCCCCAGACCATCAAAAGTTAGTACTCTCTGGTAAACTAACATAAGTTACAGAAAATCTCCAAATGTAATCAGTAAACCAGTTATACACATAAAAAATAATTAATCAAAATACAAGAAAAGTTGTTGAAAAGTTCAGGTACGCAACACAGTGGCCCCCCAAAAGTTTCTGGGTTGACTTGTAGTGCTCGAAAAGCTCCATTACATTTCCTGGTGGTAGGTATTTCCGTATCAGGGACTCCTTTGGCAAAAG